CAAACTGACTCATCAAGATTAGGTAAACTAAAGCAATGATAATTGTTAAATAAGTTAAATTTCAGGGTCATCTGGCCAAGAGTACTATCAAAAATTCAAGAAAGAAATATCGATAATTCCAATCTTACCCAAACACTTCCATAGGATAGACAAAAATGGAGAACACTCCCTAAAAAAAAAAAATCACCCCCAAACAGAAACAAACCCTTTAAAGCTCTTAGTGGAAAATATAGGTAAATAAAGTTTAGATCTTCAGTGAAGGAATAACTTCATTAAATAGACACTGACCATCGAATAAAAGATTAATAAATAATAAAAATTTGACTGCATTAAAATCAAGGACTTTGACTCATCAATAGACATCTTAAAGATTTGGAAAAGGTGCCCAGCCGGTGTGGCTCAGTGGTTGAACATCATCCCATGCACCAAAAGGTTGCTGGTTCCATTCTGGGTCAAGGCACTTACCCAGGTTTTGGTTTGATCCCCAGCCAGGTTGTGTGCAGGAGGCAACCAATTGATGTTTCTCTCCTACGTCAATGTTTCTCTCTCCTTTCTTCTCTCTGAAATAAATAAAAACATTAAAAAAAAAAATAACAGCCATTTGTATATGAATCAGCAAGCAATGTATATGGAGAGATGCCCTCGTTAATGTCTGCTGAAAGACCAGGTTGCTGAGGAGGACCGGTGAAACTTCTTTAGGCTGGAGTAGAAATATTCACTTAGGTAGACAATTATCTGGAGGAACTAATATCCTTCCTGGGGACATTTTTTTCCCACCCACAGAATGTGTAGGAGGAAAGAGAGGTCAATTTTCTATAAAACTACTTACCCACCTGTGAAATTTTCCATCTCTAGGTGCAGAGTAAAACTACTAATACCAAATGTTTTGAATGGGTTTTGAAAAAAGTCATTAAGCCAAAACCTGTTTGGCTCAGTGGACAGAGCGTTGGCCTGCGGACTGAAAGGTCCCAGGTTTGATTCCAGTCAAGGGCATGTACCTTGGTTGTGGGCACATCTCCAGTAGGGGATGTGCAGGAGGCAGCTGATCAATGTTTCTTTCTCATCGATGTTACTAACTCTCTATCCGTCTCTCTTCCTCTCTGTAAAAACTCAATAAAATTTATTTTTTTAAAAGGAAAAAGCCATTAAGCCTGGTTTAATAAACAGAGAATCAGTGATGATGACCACTACCAACCTTAAAGAGATTGGGTGGTGGAAGATACTAGTCCATTGACAAGGAACCAGTATTTAATTGCTGGCATTAGAAGGGAGCTGAGAACACTTTGGATGGTGAAGTTTACAAGGAAGGTCCCAGATAGTTCAAATATTGAAATAATTTACTTTGTAAAAAGTCTCTCAGAGAATACTTCTGGGCCATTACACATGCATCTGGATGAAATCAGAAAGACCAGAGAGTTACAGGCTTTGAAAATAGAGATTTCAAAGCTCAGATGGTACTCAAGTTGGAAATGCAACCTCTGGACAGAAGGCTACTTCCTGGCCTTGAGTAAAAAAAATTCCTGTGACTATTTTATGTACACAACAGCTTCCTATAAATAATTATCACACCTCCTTAAGGCTTTGGGACAAAAGAAAAAGGACCTCCTTTTCTTCCAAGTTCAGCAACTTGAAGCTATTTTCTTGTACAATTAAAGAAAATTACAGGTTTGATAGTATATTGCCAGGTTTGATCTTTCTGAGATATCACATATACTTAACAACTGCTAAAGCTTGGTATCCTATGAAAGCTAGGACAGAGAATGAATTTCTAGTTACATTTTTACTGTAGCTTGCAGACCATCTGGCCCTGATTGTAGACCAAATAATGGAATAAATATCAGAAAAGGTTTTTTGCCATAATGTCTCTGCATTCTAGTTTGGCTCAGTAGATAAAGCATTGGCTTGCTGACTAATGGGTCTCAGGTTCAATTCCAGTCAAAAGCACGGTATCTGGGGTTGCAGGCTCTATCACCAGCCCTATTGTGTGTGTGTGTGTCTGGCAACCAACCGATGTGATGTTTCTCTCTGTGTCTCTTCCCCTCCCTTTCACTCTCTAAGTCAAAGTTGAGAGGTAAATTATGCTATGTGGAAATGAAGTGAAATTTAAGGCGAGGCATCAGAAAAAATGGATTTGAACAATTTAAATCTTAGAAATAAATATATGATCTCATCACCCAAAATAACAAATAAATGGATATTATATGACAATTATAACTCAATTTTTTAAAAAGGTGATGGATCTGGTATGTTAAAAACACAAAATTCAACTGAGTAAATTTGAAGATCTAATTGGCTTTATTAAGCAATTCATGTATAGGGCAGCATCCCATCTAGCAACTAGAAGGATGCTCAGAGGGGTGAAAAAAAATGGAAGGTTTTTACAGGCAGGAGGATGTGGCAGGGGAGTTATTAGCAAAAAAAAAAAAAAATTACTTTTGAGCACAGAATGCAGATATCATTAATGTCTAAATACCTGGAGGTCAATACAGTACATTTTAAATGGTGTGAATTAAATAAACATTTTTGCTTAGGTAAATAATTTAATGATAGAACACTCAAATTTCTTTAAACACAATATTTTTAATTACTATCTTTTGGGAATACAGATCTGAAATGGTACAAATTATACCCAAATATCAAACCATGAATTTAACAGAGGCTTCACTGATAGAAAATTTTAAATTAAACTAGAGATATTACAAAGATTTATAATCTACTGACAGTGATACACATACATGGTATGGGCTATTATTAAGACTGGTAGCCTGCTGGCTTTTAGTTTTACATGCTGCTTAAGAACACTTCTTATTGAAGACTAGAGGCCTAGTGCATGAAATTTGTGCATGGGTAGGATCCCTAGGCCTGGCCAGCAATCAGGGCCAATCGGGGGCTGCTGGCTGCCGGTTAGGCCTTCCTTCATTCTGTGCCATTCCCTAGTGGTCAGCTCACATCATAGAGAACAATAGAACTCCTGTTCTCCCAGTTGAATTCCTGTGGGGACACTACATATTAGTCTTTTATATATATAGATTCTTGGACCAGCAAGGAATTATAATTCTTATTTTAATGTTGACAAGAATAACTATCTTACCATGCAGCCATATGGTACACATCACCAAGTTTCTAGAATCAGATGAACTATGGTTTTTGTGTGTGCATATATACATATATGTAGTATCTTATATAATAAAGAAGTAATACGCAAATTGACCCTCACACCCTCATAAGATGGCTGTCTATGACCAGGCTGGTAGGGGGTTAGTGAGGGACTACCAAACAATTGAACAGCAGGCTGCATGGGATGACCAGGCTGGCAGGGGTCCGTGAGGGGTGACCAGACTGGCAGGGGGAAGGGGGGCAGTTAGGGGTGACCAGGCAGGCAGGTGGGTGATTAGGAGTCCGAGGTCTAGGATTGTGAGAGGGATCCCTAACTGGAGAGGGTGCAGGCTGGGCTGAGGGAACCCTTCCCCTCCTCCTGCATGAATTTTGTGCACCAGGCCTCTAGTAGTTTAATAAAATTGCATTTCTTATGTTTCATTGCTTTCTAAAGTCACACTCCATATAGTGTTTTCATTAAAATTCACTGATGGTCAATACCAAATTTAGAAGGTTCCAACATTGTATAAGCATGACAAGGAGTTATAGACCTTGAGGTAAATTTCAAGATGAGTCAGCCTTAATATTCCTCACTGTGGAGTGCAAACACTAAATTCTGTCTAGTTCTGCCAGAGAGGAGAGGACTCCATCCACAAGTGTTATCGTTTGAACACAAAACAGGGAACAGAAGCGTTTCTTGGCTTTGGAACTCTGTTCCCTGGAAGGGTTTCTAACTGGTGGAGACAGAGAGTGGAGGCAGAATGTGGATCAACAACCCCTAAATGGGCCTAGATAACACACCTGGAATCCTAGACCCAGAAACTAGAAGCTAAGAACTGTTGTTAGCTACATTGGTCTTCATCAAAGCTTAGCAGTACAACTCCTTCCTCGATCTACAGCGCCACAGACGAGGAGCTCTTTGGGAGAGAAGGAAAGTAGATATAGATGAAGGCTATGCTACTTCTCAAAGGTCTGACCTCTAGGGCTGTGGTCGGCAAACTGCGACACGTGAGCCACATGCGGCTCTTTGGCCCCTTGAGTGTGGCTCTTCCACACAATACCACGGCCTGGGCGAGTCTATTTTGAAGAAGGGGCGTTAGAAGAAGTGTAAGTTTAAAAAATTTGGCTCTCAAAAGAAATTTCAATTGTTGTACTGTTGATATTTGGCTCTGTTGACTAATGAGTTTGCCGACCACTGCCATAGGCCACAGCTAAGTGTGTGGAATATGATCCCATTTTGAAAATGGTTGACACTATTTTAAGAGTTGAGAGTGTGTTAGAAAAATCCAGGATGCCAACTATGAAACTTTAACTCAAGAATGTGGAACACACAGAAGTATATCCTCTTCTTAAAAATCTAGATGTGTATTTTGGTTTTCAATTACCACACAAAAACTTTTTAAAAGCTTTAATTGCCTAGTACAGTGTACAGCTTTAAAGAGAACCTACATCTTGAATAAGTTAATCATTTATAACCATCTTCATGAAACATAGTTACCTCGTTTTTTCTGGTGCTATCAAATTAAGCAAGGAATCAAACTGTGTGTCACTCACAACACACAACCAAACTGTATGTACATTTATAGGTTTATGAAAAAGCTGAGATACAACTATCTTTAGCCTTTTAGATTAGGTAGATAGGACCTCCCACTCACTCACTCTGTATATCCCACAAAACACAAAAGCAGCAACTTTTCTATTTTGTTACAATTATGGGCAGAAATTATATAATGAAAAACAGAGGTGCTTCCACAAAGTTGAAGGTATAGGGTAGAAGAAGATAAAGACAAAATTCTCGTGAAGTAAAAAATAATCTTACTTTAGTCCAGTACTCCATGAAACCCTCATGGGATAAACTATAGCTCCCAACGGTGTGCATTTGAATCCAGGTTCACCAAGGCACTTCAATATGCTTCCACCTGTCTCATCAGCGTCTTCCTGCTGTATTCATAAACCAAAAACAGTGACCCATTGGCAGGTAACGCTCGAATCATAGTAGCCGACAGTCCAGAATACAAGGCCGCTACCCCCTCACTTTGAACAATAGTAACAAGAGTTCCGACAAACCCTGCCTGTTTCCCATGCATGGAAAGGACCTGAATTCTGGATTTGATGCAGTCCACCGGGAACACGACAAGCCAGAGGCAAATGCCGGCAATCCCGCCACTTAACATCAAATGGGCAGGGCCTAGTTCGTCTTTGGATCTCCCCGAGGCCAAAAGCGTTCGGGTCACTTCGTAGCCGCCGAAGAAGAAGAAGTAGCCTGGCACTTCTTGCAGGAGGGTGCTGGAGAAGCCGTGAAAGAAGCCCAAGGGGCCGTCCTTCCTAAGGATGCCCTGCACCACGGACCACACGGTGTTGTGGCTCTGGTTGATCTTGCCCGACTTCTCCATCTCGTGCATGGCCTGCAGCCGGCACTTGACCAGCTCCGTGGGGCACAGGGCCAGCGCGGCGAAGGCAGACGCCATGGAGCCGGCGGTCGCCCGCTGCAGGTCGCTCAGCTTGTCCTGCCTGTCCAGCCCCGCCACCGCCTTCACCAGCTGCTGGCAGAAGCCGTAGCACATGAAGAGGACCGAGTTCTCGGCCACGTAGGCCATGAGCGCGGGCCCGGTGCCGCGGTAGAAGCCGCGCAGGCCCACCTGCGCGTAGGTCTGGCGCCAGCAGTCGGCGAAGCCCCGGTACAGGCCGGGGAACGTCTGCATCTTCACCTTCACCGTGTCGAAGGGCTGCCCGGTCAGCACACACGCGGTGCCCCCGAGCGCCCCCGATGTGAGGTCGATGGCCGCCTGGAGGGCGGGGTTGAGGCTCATGTTCGCGCGCCGGCCTCGGTGGGAAGGCGACCCTCAGGGGCTGCGAGGGGGTCCCCGGCGCCGCCCACGCCGCCCATGGGACGACGGCTCGGCGGAGGGAGAAGCCGCGCAGCCCCGGGCCGGGCGCCGCGCCGCCTCCAGCGCCGGGTCCCTTGGCTCCCGCGGCCCCGGCCCCGCAACCGCCAGCCCGGCGCGGCGCGCGCGGCCGCGGCCTGAAGACGTAACCCCTGCCCCCTGCGGGGAGAAGCACCGGGCCGAGCGGTGAGTCGGTGAAGTAAAAAAATAATAGTTTTAAAAATTTGGCTCTCAAAAGAAATTCCAATTTGCATGCTGAATACCCAAGGGCAGTGTTTCCCAAACTTCTCTCATGATGGGAATCACCTGGGGGGGTTGTTAAGCTACAGATTCCTGTATCCCGACTAAGAAGTGCTAACCTAGAATTTCTGGGAACATATAGGTAAAATTGTATACTTAACTAGTGCTCTGAGAGAGAGAATGTTTCCTATATGTTCCCAAAAATTCTAGGTTAGCACTTCTTAGTCGGGATACAGGAATCTGTAGTTTAACAACTCCACCAGGTGATCCTCACCATGAGAGAAGTTTGGGAAACACTGCCCCAGGGGCCCGGCGAGAACCAGCGGGAGCCCAGGGTCTCTCTCCACAAACAGATCGGGAAAGACCAACAAACCGCGGGGGACGGGAGGTGGTTTACATGACAGTCGGCCGCGGCTTGGGCCCGGGAAGCCTTGAACTGCCTCTGGGAGGAGGAGGGCGGCTCTGCGGGCCTCGCAGGGCCTCCGTGGTCCCGGGGACGCAGGAGGGTTCCCCAGGCGGGCGGGGGCGCTACTCCGGGCCTGCGGAGCGCGAGAAGGGCTATTTGGTGGCAATGTCTCCGGGGACGCGGAGCTAAAGTTCCTGGGAGTTGGTGGGACCGAGTTCTCAATATTTCTTGATAGGACAAGGACTTTTACAATCGGCTCGGGGAAAAAGGTATTTTTTATAATTGCTAAGAAAGGTGATCCTTAGCCAGAACCGGTTTGGCTCAGTGGATAGAGCATGGGCCTGCGGACTGAGTGGTCCCAGGTTCAATTCCGGTCAAGGGCATGTACCTTGGTTGCGGGCACAACCAAGTTTCTAACACTCTCTCTCCCTTCAATAAAATGTATTTTTTTTAAAAGAAAAAAAGAAACTTGATACTTAAAGACTGTATGGTTCCAGCTGTCTCTGCTAAGTTTCAAGGTTCTTGAGGAGCCATAGAGTTTTGTGCAGTGGCCACATAAATTCAGGATACAAATAGCACACTTGCTCTGAAGGAAAGATGAAGTTTGGGACATATGAGGGTACCGCTGTTAGGACACACTTTTTTTTCTCAGATGCTCATGATCCCAGCGTTAGAATATATTCTCTTACGATTTACATTCCAAGACCTAGTTGGGATTTTACTTTGGGGGTTAAAAACAAAATGGGGGGAAGGGCAGGAAGTATAGTGAAATGATTTCCTCCTTCGTTTAGAAAGCTTTCCTTGTCTGATTATCTTGGGCTATCAATTAATACGTAAAAGTGAGGCACTGAAAAGTGGGTTCTGTATGGGTAGTTTGTCAACAAATAGATTTCTTGTCCCCTAGATAGTGTGACCTGGCCTTTTCTTGGAGAATGCCCAGAGGTCAGTATTTGGATTTCTTTTCTCAGGAACCATGTGGTTTCTTCAGAGAACAATCTTCTGGTTGACTCCATGTGTGTTGGATGGGACGGAGTATCCTTGGTACTGATTTAATGAGGCCAAGATGGGGGAGTAGGGGTGGCATTCCTGCAGCAATGGACATAGATTTTTCACATAATTCCCTGTTTGATGCTATGCACCCCAGCCTTCATCTGTGCGTTTCTCTGACTTTGAGACTTTGCTTTAATTTACCTAGGGAAAAAAAAAAAAAACCTTTCCAAAATAAATACATAAATTAAAATGAAAGAAAATAAACTTTACATCTGTGGGACAGGGAAATAAGAGTCATCTAGATCCAGAGTCCTAGGCTGGGTTAAGGATCTTGGCTAGCCAACAACTCTGAACACAGACTTTAACGAATCCTAGGTTTCCACCTTTCCCCTTTCCTCAGAGACTTCTGCCTGAACAAAAGGAGCTTCTCACAAGTTCTCTACCACGTGGGTTTGTTTCTCTTTGGTATACCCAATTACAGACATTTATTGTGTAACTTTCTTTCATCTCTGAATTAATTAATCTTATATTCATCTGCTTTGGCCTTCTGAAAACGGTTTGATCTCTATCATTTAATGTTGTCTCATTGGGGATTATTTTGGCAGGATTTTTTTTTTATAGAGAAGAGATATGTGATAACAATCTGCCATTTTAGACTAAAAATATTTTTAAATCCTTCATGTGACATTTGAGATATTTTAATGTTTTGACATGACCCTCAAGAAAGACGGAGAAAAAAATATATTGTGGAGGCCCTATCAACTTATCTAGACGTGCATTCAATATTTTAATAGCCACTGATTTTCAATTAATTACACCTGGTTCATTGTTTTTAATTGAGTTTTTACAAACATAAGAGATGCAGGCTACTGCAATAAATCATCAATTGCTTTTGCATTAAGTCATGTATGTTTTGGAGAAACCAAATTAGTAAAGGCCAGGCACAGTGGTATTAATAAGGAAATGGTCTGTATCTTCACTGAATTGACAAATATAGCTGCTGACAAATAGTAGAGAAGGAGATGAAGTCCCGCTAAACAGCTGGACTTGGAGAGAACAGGCCCCAGCATATATTAAACATAGCCTAAGACTACAAGCATTCTTGAAAGCTATTTTTTCCTGATTCTAACTAACCAAAATGATGATGCTCCTGTTTCAAATTTAAGCGCATGTCCTTCCACACATACAAACCAGAAAATAATGGGAAAGGAACTCCCAACCTTTCCGTAAAGATTCTTGAAAAAGTGAGAACATCTAAGTCACATGCCTCCTGGCAATTAGACTGAATGGCCAGATATGATTACCAGAGAAAGTGAGTTTTGAGCTGAAGCCTGAAAGACAAAAAGCAGGCCATGGAAATACCCGGAGACTGTTCCAGGAAAGGGGAACTATAAATGCTAAATAAAGCTCTGTGGTCAGATATGTGAAGTACAGAAAGAAGGCTGGTATTGGCTGCTAAGCGGTGAGCAGTCTTTCTGGTCTATGTTTTCACATAGAATTCTTACCGGATAATAAAACAAAAACCAGAGTTTAAGATACAGTCCTTGAGACATATGAATTGTTATAATTTACCTAAATTTTTCATCTCAAACATTTGATCTCTAGATTTGAAATATTAGGCTTTATGACATTTAAAATGGAATACTGATATCATTTACCTAATCTGTAGATAATGATACAAACAGAGGCCATATTGGCAGGTTTATTGTGGCATTCTGTGTAATAGCAAATTTAAAGTGAAGCAACATAAATAACCAGCAATCGGGGAGTGGACAAATTAAGAAAATATCTATATCATGAAAATATCTATATCATAAAAAAGCAAATCTATACAAGCTAATAAGGAGAAGAGTTTTAGAATCATGTCTCCAACAAAATCATACTTTTCTTTTGCGTTATAGAGCTACAGATATGTATACAATTATTTGTATACCAAATAAAGACCTGCAATGATACCTATCAAAAATGTTAAGTTTACCCTAGAAAGTTGGGTAAAAAAAACTTTTTAGTTTTGTAAAAACTAAAATTTTGTAAAGTTTCTGCATTGTTTAAATGTTTTCAGGGAGTTATTTTTTATTTCTGTAATATTTTAAAACATAATTCTTTAAAGATTTCTTCATAACTTTTGTTCATGAACCCAGAAATGTTGAAAACTGGAGCCCAACCACACTCACATTCATTAGCCAATGGAGCTGTGAGAAAAGTGGTGTTTGTTTTTACAACTCTGGATTTATTTGAAGGGAGATGGATCCCAATCTTCTTTAGTTAACTCTTTCTTTTTGGAAGTTTATGTAACAGATAATTATTCTTCATTGTGGAGTTTTTAATTTTAATGCAAAGCCAAGCCATAAATAAATCAAATAAAAAATAAAGTCACAGAAGTAAGTTGAGTTGATATATTTATGCTGCAGATATATTTGAAACAAACCCTGTTTCTGCTCTAACTTATAAACTTTGACTTAGGATCCTTAATTTGAAATCAGCCAACCACATTTTAAACAGCTATTTATACATTTTTCTACTATTTTGTTAACTCTTTAATTCAACTAATTATTTAATCCCCATTATGTGCAGGCCTTGTAAATAGGCAGTAAGTTTGCTTTTTTATTGTTTACTATATTCCAGTCATTATTCTAAGTCCTTTATATGTGTTAATTCAATAGCCAACAGTCTTGAGGCAGGTAATATTATCACCTCCATGTTAGAGATGAAAAAATTGAAGCACACAGATTATTACTTGCCAAGATAATAGGTCACTGAACTAGGATACAGACCCAGGCACTACATCTCCTGACCCTGAGATTTTAACCTCTTTACTATTTAGTAAGTTTAGTGACTAACAAGCCAAAGTGCCTACTCAGGGAATTTACAGCCTAGTGGGGATATGAAAAACAGGAAATTTATATTTTAATGTGATAAATGCATAATAGGTCATTATCCAAGAATACTAGTATAGAGTGCAAGAGATTAGACATTAAATGTTTAATTCAGAATTTCATATACAATGCCTGGTACTGCTTCGCACAATAAATATTTGTTGAATAACAGGGAAACACAGAGCTTGGGCAAAGCGATAATATAATTGCTTAACCTAGATAGAGATCAGGAAAGTCTTGCTGGAGTCAGTGATATTTAGATTGAGTGGGATATGGCCAAATAAAGGGAAGTCTTCTAGGTTGAGTGAACATCTTGTTAAAAGGCCGTAAGGCCCAGGAGAGGAAGAGGAGTAATTAAACTCCTTGGAAAAATGTAAAGAAGCTTAGTATGGCTTGAAAACAGTGAGACGATGTGGTGAGATGAGGCTGAAAAGGTAATTAGAGCACTCATAATCCTATGTTTTGAAAAGATATAAACAATCTTAAAATAATGATGTACCACTGAATGGTTTTAAGAATGGAAGTGACATAATCAGATGTCTCTTGGAAAGATCATTTTGGTGCCCTAGTCAAAATACTAAGTTGGATGGTGAGTTTATATAAACGCACATACAGTTTGGAAGCTACAGCCATTTGCTAGGCCAAAGATGATAATGGCTTATCCTAGAACAATAGCGGCGGGGATGAAGTAGAGTGACTGGTGAGTTTTGTAGAAAGTAGATTCGGTAGTAAGGGGGGGTAGTCAAAGATGTAAAAAATATAAAAGTTATGTTTAAGAAATTTTGAAATATCAGACTATGTACTGACTTTATGAATAATTTTGATGAACTGACATGAACAAATCACCTTGGGTGTCAGAATATTAAATAATTAGCCGAAACCAGTTTGGCTCAGTGGTAGAGTGTCCGTCTGCGGACTGAAAGGTCCCAGGTTCAATTCTAGTCAGGGGCATGTACGTTGGTTGTGGGCATATCCCCAGTGGGGGGTGTGCAGGAGGCATCTGGTCGGTGTTTCTCTCTCATTGATGTTCTAGCTCCCTTCCTCTCTGTAAAAAATCAATAAAAATATATTTTTAAAAAAGACTATTAAATAATTACAGAAGTTAAGTGGAAAATATTTAGAAATATAATCTTAATCCAACTCAATGGAATTATTCTTTCAACAGTAAGACCTCACTTTGTTTTGTTCCTAATATATGAAGCAGGTGATTGTAGTGCTTTAAACACACAAAAACACTAAAAAAGACCTTCATGTACAAAAATTAGGGTAATTTAGGAAGGTTCTGTACCTAGTATTTCTTAACCTCCAAATGAAACAGGCAAATTAGAAGTTTAACAAAATACAAAGATGACATTTCCCAATTTGTTTGCATCTACTGTAATAATCTTTTTCTTAAAAACCCAACATAATGGCTTCTTTCCCTACAAAACAGGATCAAATTGCTCAGACATTAAACCCCCACCAACAGACCACTTCACAAGAGGATCTGACACCAACTACCCCTAAAAGAACAAGACACATTATCAGATGAAAACTAGTATTTATTATGTTAAACTTTATAAAATGATTTGCAACTATACATATAAAAAATAACTACTGCATGGGAGAACATATACAAACTAGCTTCACTGCCTTTAGACTACTTTTTTTCTTGATCTCAGATGGCTTCACAAACTAGCAATAGCAGCTTCTGGCAAATGGAGAAACAGCAGCAAAGTCCGGCAGTGAAGTTGTGATTACTCAAGTTGAACGGTTCATTCCACTAATCTTACAACTTTTCTACATGTATCTGTCACACATTATTACTTTCTACAGGATAAACACCTAGCCACGTTCTGAGAGACAAGTGAAATAGAAATTCACATTTATAGTTGTCTGTAAGACAAATCCAATAGAAGACAGCAGAGAAATTGGGAATTACTGCAAAGTTATATTTAGTCCAGGTGATGAAGCCAACATTTTTCTCCCAATGCTGACCACTCTACAGAAGGACATTAAGTATCAAAACTCTTCTTACTTTTCTAGGAGTGATTCTAGCTCTTCTTGCAAAGAGATGAGCTGCTCCTTTTCTCGGTCTTCCTTTTGTTTGAGTTCATCCAGCACAGCCTGAAACCTGTTCTTGAGGGCCAGGTTTTCCACTTTCATGATGAGGTCTTCCTGTCTTTTTGCCCTCTCCTGGGTCTCTTGGAGCTTGCCTTTTATGTTATCAATCTGTTTCTGAATTCCCATAACCAGCTGATTGGTCCCCTCATTTTCTTGGTGCTGTTCATCTGATGCATTTAGCTTGTCCTGTAGCTGTCTTTCCAGATCTTCTTCGGTGTCAATGATGTTTATGTCTTCCTCATCTTGATGCTGTGTCTCATCTTCATCTTCACTGCTGCTGCTGAGGTCATTGAAAATCTCCCGAAGCTCATCATGTTCTAATGAGTCATGGCCTTGCCTGTGGCCTGACATCCCTGGAGAAGAGATATCAAGGCCTTGATTTTCGGTTTCTTTCGTTTCATCTTCAGCAATTATTTCCCAACGAGTACTGACAGCTTCAGCATCTGTACTCAGCAAACGTTTCACTTCCTTTTCCACATCTGGAGATTCAATATATTTCTTCTTTGCTGTCTTCCGGAACCTTCTCTTTCTGACATTTTTTAGAGGCAGAGTGATTCCATGGTTCCATATAAACTTTTTCTCTTTGTCCTTATCCTTTTTTTTGCTTGCTTTGGGGTCAGCAGCAGCAGCTGCAGCAGTTGCAGCAGCTGCAACTGGTTCCTCCACTGGAGGATAGAGATCACCATCAACTGTGGATACAAGCATCTGACAGATATCAGCTGTCTTGTAAAAGGTTTTTTTGTCAATGGTTTTCAAACTTTCCATGATACAAGGCAGATCTACCAATTTTGAGGCCAGTGGGACTCGATCCACTCTGACAATTCCATGGCGCCCATCCGGATGTAACTCGATTGTCAGTCTGTCCTTCAGATTGACATGGCCAGACTGTACTGCCCGCCTCACAGTAGAGGCATATTCTGGAGGTAGACGTAAGATAAACTGGCTCTCTAGTTCGTGAGGAGCATCCTCTTTGCTCTTACTCATCTTTCTTTCTTTGTGACTCCTCTAAAAGCCACTTGTTGCACTAAAAAGTTCCAGCTATTGCAACAGTTGGAAAGAGCAGTTTGTTATGAGTTGAAATATTTAAGTATTACAGCAGCTAAGCGTCTATTTTCTTAATTTTAAATTAAGCACCAAGTTTTTTTAAATATGCTGTGACTGAATAAGTTGTTACTGACACTGGCTTATTCAGTTAGGTCCATTTAAATATATTAGCTGCAGTTCCACGTTTCAACCGCTAGATGCCGCTGCCGGACAATGCAGAAAGCTGGCGAGCAGGAAAGCAAATGGTGGCTTCTGCAGAATGTTTTGCAGCACAGAAAGTTACGGCCCCAGCTGACACTCCCAATCCACACTTGCCCGGAACAAAGGTAGTCAAAAAGCGGGGCACAGTGAGCTCTCTTCGCCTCGGATACTTACAATCCAGCGATGATTATAAACCCAGCTTCTCCGGTTCTGAGCGAGCGGAAGAGGAAGCCGCTTGGAGCAAGAGGCTGGGAGCCGATCGTATCTCCTGATTCCTTTGTTCCTCCGGCCTCTTGGCAAAGCGGCCCGGTCCTGATTACCGATGAATGGTCCAGGGAGGGCAGCGCGAAATCTCGCTGAGATGCGCCGCTCTGAGCGCCAGGCTCGGCAGCGCCGCGGCTCTGCAGCTCCGCAGACCTCCGTCCGGTGCTGCAGACCAGCGGAGAAGAAAGCGCTACGTCACCGCGCGGGGCGGGAGGCCGCTGTGAGTGACAGCGCGATTCAGGCGGAAGTGCGGGCTGCCTCAGAGCGCGCAGGCGCAACTATGCTAGCTGGCGTAAATACTGTCTTCTCGCGAGAAGTTGGCTTTCTAGGAAGGGAATAACTTAAGGAGTTTGTTTACATTTAGACACCGTTCCTAAAAAGACACAGATCCTCCCCCACACCCGCCCTCGCCCCGCCGCTAAGCCAGGACTTTTATCGGATCGCCTTGGGGCCGGGTATCTCCTAGGCTTCCGGGTGATTGTCGGATACAGGGCATCCAGGTGGAAAGCGTCTTTGCTTTTAGAAACATCTCGGATGTTCTGCAGGGCATATATCCACTGGGGAGCTGAGAGAAGAATTTATGACTATGCAGTGCATTTCAAAGTATGCAAATCAGTGGAGTGAAGACAACATGCTGCTCACTATATAATTCTGTCATAACATTGATTATGAAAATGAATGGAGCGGACCCATGCCTCAAGGGTCTGTTTTGAAGGATCCCAAGGGAACACGGGCGATTCCTCTTTTTAATGTTTGAGGTAGATACAAATGTAAACAAGTAAGTGTTCTTCTAGAGGCACGTGTTCATTTTAGACAGTTTTCTGACAGACAAATGGTCTGATTGAAGTAGAATATAATTGAAGTATTATTCCCTGCCACTCGCCAATAATTTTTAAATTAGTTAGGATTTTTGTTCATTCCACTTCTACTATTTTGATAACTGTTTTCTGCTTGTCTCTTCTGTATGTAATTAGGTACATTAACATGTATAATATTTAAGCCTCATTATGTAACACTTTCCACTTATTTCTACTCATTTCCATTTATTTTTTAATGGGATCAGTTTGGTAGAGCATCAAGGTCATTAAAAATTTCATTTCTATCCTGTAAAATATTAACCACTACATCTAATTTTAAGAGAGTGCTCTTAAAAATGTGATTAATAGCCTTGGCTGGTGTTGCTAAGTAGTTAAAGTGGCAGCCCATGCACTAAAGGTGGCAGGTTCCATTCCCAGTCAAGGGCACTTATCTGGGTTGCAGGTTCTATCCTTGCCCTGTCTGGTGCATGCAGGAAGCAACCAATCAATGCATCTCTCACATGATGTCCCTTTCTCCTCCTTCTTCCTCCCTTCCACTCTCTAAAGTTGATGGGGGGGAAATATTCTTGGGTAAGGATTTTTTTAAATGTGATTAACATTTCAAAAATTCACTTTATTTCTGTGTTTTTATTGCTTCTCTTACCCCATAATGGAAACTCCATGATAATCAGAAGTCTTCTGTCTTGCTCATCATGCCCCAAAACCTAGCACCAAAACATGGGAGATATACAGAAAATATTTGCTAATTGAATGAACCAATCCATCCATCTAGAGGGAACACAAATATAGTCTAACTCCTATGATAATACTTTCTTTGTTATTTTAAAATGAGATAGAGTCATTTCATATACATTTCCTCTCTAGTCAAGGACAGTGCTAATTGTTATGAGCAGAGAGGTTTATTAATAGTGTGTGTGAATATGTCCTCTTTGTTTTAGGAAGACTGTATATCATGGGAAGGAATTAAAATGGCCTGACACCAATTTGCTTTTTTAATGTTAAGTTTGAAGTTGAAATTATGCTCTTTAAGATAATTCTACATTTGTTCTCTTTGCTCTATAATGTGTTTTATAATATAGTGGGTCAAAGGTGATATTTGGTAATGTTTGAAGACATTTTTTGATTGTTACAACTATGGGTGGAGTCTACTGGAATCTAGAGGGTAGAGGCTGGGAACGCTGCTATATATTCTACAACATACAATACATTTATCCCCCACAACAGAGTTATCTGTCCAAAAATCATAATAAGGCTGAGAAACCTTGCCCTAAGCTTTTACTTTAAGCCCATATTACTAATTAAACGTTGACAAGTAGAATGATATTACCATTATTGGTTTGGATCTCTCAGAACCTACTGCAGCTATAAACAGTTTCAGCTTCACACTCGGTATTCAGAGACTGGGCCCCCTAAACTATAAATAAAGTGTTAGAAGAAAGAAGTGGGCATGGACAACTGTCTTAGTCCCTTTGGGCTGCTATAACAAAATACCATAAATCAAGTGGCTTGCAAATAACAGAAATTTATTTCCCAGTTCTGGAATCTGAGAAGTCCAAGATAAAGACACTGGCAGATTTGGTGTCTGGTGAGGACAGGCTTCCATATTCATAGACAGCAGTCTTTTCACTGTAACCTTACATAGTGGAAGTTGTATGGAGGCTCTTTGCAACCTCTTTTAAAATGTATATATGTTTTATTGATTTTTTACAGAGAGGAAGAGAGAGTGTTAGAAACATCGATCAGCTGCCTCCTGCACACTCCCTACTGGGGATGTGCCCACAACCAAGGTACATGCCCTTGACCAAAATCAGAGACCTTTTTGTCTGCAGACCAACGCTCTATCCACTGAGCCAAACCGGTTTCGGCTGCAACCTCTTTTACAAGGGCATTTATACTATTCTTGAGGACTCCATCCTCATGACCTAATCACTTCCCAAAAGTTTTACCTTCAAATACCATCACATTGGATATTAGGTTTCAACATATAAATTGGAGGGGGGTGGACACATGGATATTCAGTCTACAGAAACAAGCAATTATATCCACGAAAGAACAAATTACTTGGAGGATTATAATAGTATATATGTAATTCCAAAAGTATTATAAATGGCCAATAAGCACATGAAAAGATCTTCCTCGACATCACTAATCATTTGGGGAAATGCAAATCAAAACAACAATAAAACAACATCTCATGCCCATTAGGATGGCTACTATTGAAAAACAAAGTAACAAATGTTGGCAGGGGTGTGGAGTAATTGGAATCCTTGTGTCCTTTTGGTGGGAATGTAAAATGGTATAGCTACTGTGGAAAACAGTGTGGTGGTTCCTCAAAACCTTAAAAATAGAATTACCATATGAGCCAGCAATTTCCAACAGAATTGAAAGCAGAGTCTTGAAGAGATATTTGTACACCCATATTCTTAGCATCATCATTCACAATAGCTAAAAGTTTTAAGTAACACAAATGTCTATCGACAGATGAATAAGCAAAATGTTGTATTTACATACAATGGAATATTATTCAACCTTAAAAAGGAAGGAAATTCTGACATATGTTCCAACATGAATGAACCTTGAGGATACCATGCTATGTAAAATAAACCAGTCACAAAAAGAATGCTGTATGATTCCACTTATATTAGGTATTTTTAGTGATCAAAATCACTAAGACAGAAAATAGAATGGTGTTTGCCTGGGGATGGAGAGAAGGGAGAATAAAGAGGTATCATTTAATGGGTGTAGGTTTCATTTCTATATGATGAAAATAATTATGGAAATGGATAGTAGTGATGGTTGCACAACATTATGAATGTATTTAATACCATTTAAATGTACACTTAAAATGGTTACAATGGTAAATTTTAAGTCAGGTATATTTTACCACAATAAAAAAGAAAAAAAGTATGCATATATACTATATTTAAAGTATGGACAGGCATAGAATACAAATTCTTTAAATCATAAATAATATAATGCAGTTGCTGGTGATTTTACATTTTTTATCAGTATTTCCTACTTTTTATAGTGAAAATTTATTTTTATTATAGAATTTACAGAGAAAATTCCATTTTTTGCAGTGTGAAATTATTTTCACAATGGATAATTTCTCGAGTAAAAAGGTTTTTTTTTTTAAGGAAAAGACACTTCAATGGTATATCATCTTTAAATGGAAATGTCAAGACGGAAAATTCTGTAAGAATTCTTATTTTAAGTCGCAATGTATTTTAATAAGAAAATGTTTGATTTAAATTTTGTGGAAAGATCATATTATTGATATTTTGTCAAGAAGAAATAACGACTTGCAGCCTTTGTACTAAACCACAAATAAGTCCTGGAAATAAAGCGAATGTAGTATCCTGCTAGGACTTTTAGAAATGAAAATGGATACAGGTCTGGGCCTCTGGGTGCCGCTGTCGGCCAGTCCGTGGGTGGAGTGAAGCAAAGCAATCCACTGGCGACGCTGACGCAGGATCCCGGCAGACTGGAGAAACACATCCGGAGCGAACTCTGCGTGCCATCTTTCCTGCAATCTGTTCCAAAGATCTGGGTAAGGAGCGTTTAATCATTGTGATTTTTCTTTCTAGCACACCTTTTGTGATCCGGAGCAACCGCGGTGATGTATTCAGATCTGAGAAGCAGCAATGAGAAGACAGA